AGATGAAGGAGAAGGAGAAGGAGATGAGAAGGAGAAGGAGGACCAACAGGTAAGCAACAGGTGGATGAGGACCAAGGGATAAATCCTGGAGAAAACAAAGCAAAAAAGAGGCTCTTTGGCCTCTACTGCAGAATATGGAGAGGAGACTCACCCGAATTGGAAGAGTTGGAGCCGGAGGAGCTCCTGGGATCCCGGTAGGTCTTCCACCTTTTCCTTTTCCTCACCCACAGCCTCAGGAGGGGCCTCGCTGCCTCCTCGTCCTCCGAGCTTTGGATGGGTGGGATCCAGGCCTCCTCCCCTCGCTCGAGGCGGGCGAGCAGCTCGGGGCTGTACGCGGGGCAGCCTGCTCGAGGAGACGGCGGCGGGTCACCGAGCGCGCCCAGGAGGTCCCGTTAGGAGCAGAGCTCCTGACGAGCTCCTAGTGAGCTTAAAACTCCTCAAAACGTCAAAAAAATAGTAAAAATCCAGGTGCTCGAGGCTCTCTGAGGAGGATTCAGCCCCAGCGGGACTGGCTGAGAACGTCTACAACTCATTACCCAACGGCTTTCCAGGCCACATGGAAGGGGACAGAAGCCGGAGCGCGAGAAGAAGCAGCCCCCCAAAGCAGGACTTGCCAAGAAGACAGGGAAAGCCCCCCGGGACAGCGGGAGCGGCGGAGGAACGTGGAGGCCCTCGGTGGCAAGAGGTGAGGAGAAGACCGAGGACGGGGAGGAAGGCTGGAAAAAGAGAGAGAGGGAAGCGGGAGGCTTCGCTTGGAGGCATGGAGCACGAGGAACCGAGGTCCTGGAGCGGTTCCCTGGATTCCACGTCTTGATGACTCCTCCTTTGGGAGGGCCCTCAGGTGGAGGCCGGAGCCTCGACGGGGCGGGAGCTGTCAGGAGAGGGCAGTGCGAGCCCGCAGCCGGTTTTGGGTCCATTCCGGCGGGTTTTGAGCATCGTGGAGGAGGGAGAAGGCGCCGCACGTGCCGCAGCTCCGGGCCCCTTCCAGCTCCCGACTTGCAGGGATTCCTCCCTGGAAGAATCCAGGGATTCCCGGGATTTGCACGAGAAGGACGGGAGAGCAAACAGCGGGAGAAGCCGCAGGGGGCCCCAAACTTAGCCCCCCCCCCCAAAAAGCGACCCCCGAAACCGCAAAAGGGAGCACAAAGGACCCCATTTCCTCCCCTGAAAGAGGGACTGGGGGGATTTGGGGGGAGCGCACCCCGAAAATATCAGTGCCGGGGGGGGGGGTCGGGATGGTCCCACCATGGGGGGCAAAGGGGGGTGCCCCAAGGGCGGGGGGCTCTGTCCCTACCTGCGGGCGCAGCCGGGGGGGTTTGGGGGGGCTCCGGCCGAGCCCCACAAGCCACGGTCACCTCCTCGACGGCCTCGGGCACCTGCAAAACCAGCGAGGGGCCCTCCAGGCTGCGCCCCCCCCCAAAAAAAAGCGGATTTTTGGGGGTCCCCCCCCAAACCCAGCTCGGCCGGGGTCCCCCCTACCTGGGCGGCTTCGGCCGCAGCCATCGCGGTGGTCCCGAAGGGAGGAAGGCGAAGAGGAGTCTTCCTCGGCGCGGCGCCCCTCACCGTCCCGCCGGGGCTGCGCGCGGCGCCGCGTTGCCCCCCGGCGCGGGGAGGAGGCTCCTTTGGCGGGGGGGGGGGTCCCACCCCCCCGCCCCTCTGTAGGGGTGGGGGCGGAGCCCCCGCGGGGTGTATTTTGGGGGAAAAAAAGCCGCTTTTGGAGCCCTAGAGCTCCACGAAGGCGGCGACGCTGCTGCCCCCACGAAAGGGGCGAGGGGCAAAAGGGGGGAATTTTGGGGGGTGGGGGGTTCAAGGAGCCCCCCAACCCCCGGAGCTGCCCTGTCCGGGGAGGAAAAAAAATAATAATTAAGTAATTAAATAATTGAAACAGGGGGAAAATTCAATTTAAAGCCCCAAGCCGCGTGTCCGCCCTCCTTTAGGACTCGCCCGCCGCTTATCCCATCAATGATTTAATCCCGACCTAACCGAGCCTGACCTGGCCAAAACGTCCAGGATAAAGAGGGGGAAACAAAAAAAAGGGAAATTCGGGTAACTTCGGAGGGGGAGACGCGTCCCCTCCCCGAGCGCCTTTTGGGGTCGGGACTCCAAAAGCGGCGATTTTGGCGCGGGGTTTGAGCCGGGCTTTGAGCGGGGGCAAAGAGGAGCCCAAGCCCTTGTCCCTCCCTCCCAAAACCACCCTCTTGTTGTTCCCTTTGCCCGGGGGGAAAAGAAAACACCCGCTTATCGCCGGGGCCAGGGCCACCTCCCCCCGCAGGTGCCAACTACCTTTTTTCTTGCAGAAATGGCCCATTTGGGGCCTTCCTAATGTCCCCTGCAAGGGCTCGGCGGGGCCTCCCGCTCCCCGGGCTATTTGGGGACCCCCGGGAGCTTTTTTTGGGGGGAAAAAGCCCCGAATCGGGTGATTCGGGGAGAAAAAGCACAAGGTGGCCATGGGATGGGCCAGGTGGCCACCCCATGGGCCAGGTGGCCACCCCATGGTTAATGGGGTGGGGGACCCCATGAGGGGGTCTCCACCTCAAATATTCCAGGGGGGCAAAGAGCAGGGGGGAGATTTGGGGGGGTCTCCCCCTCCAAAGCTCCAGGGGGGCAGATTTGGGGGGGTCTCCACCTCAAATGCTCCAGGGGGGCAAAGATTAGGGGGGAGATTTGGGGGGGGTCTCCACCTCCAATGCCCCAGGGGGGCAATTCCACAGCGGACCCCCCTGGGATCGCCCCATTTGCTTCCTAATGGCCCATCGAGGCAGCTGCCCCCAGGCCCCGTTTTAACCCCTTCCTTGGGGGTTAAGCCCTTCCTTCAGCTTTAACCTCTGCCTTTAACCCTTTCCATCCCTCTTTTACCTTTTTTTCTCTGTCTTTTACCTTTTTCTCCGTCTTTTACTTTTTTTTTTCCCCCATCTTTTACCTTTTTTTCCCCCCATCTTTTACCTTTTTCTCCATCTTTTACCTTTTCCTCCCACCTGGGAACAAGGAAAAGAAGGAAGAGGGACACAAAGCAGCAGGATTTGGACCCCCCAATGGAGGGGAAGATCCCGATCCTCTTCCAGGATCAGCCACCTCCCAGGGGGCAGCCCAAGGAAGAGCCCCCTTCCTTGGGAGACCCTATTCCTTGGGAGACCCCATGTCATCCCCTGGGGATCCCAAATTCCGAGGGTTTTCTGCCCTTGATCCCAAATTTTGAGGGTTTTCTGCCCTTGATTCCAAATTTCAAATGTTTTCTGCCCTTGATCCCAAATTTTGAGGGTTTTCTGCCATTGATTCCAAAGTTCGAGAGTTTTCTGCTGTTGATCCCAAATTTTGAGGGTTTTCTGCCCTTGATCCCAAATTTTGAGGGTTCTCTGCCCTTGATCCCAAATTTTGAGGGTTTTCTGCCCTTGATTCCAAAGTTCGAGAGTTTTCTGCCCTTGAATTTTGAGGGTTTTCTGCCCTTGATCCCAAATTTTGAGGGATTTCTGCCCTTGATTCCAAATTTCACAGGTTTTCTGCTATTGATCCCAAATTCCAAGGGTTTTCTGCTGTCGATCCCAAATTCCGAGGGTTTTCTGCTGGGAGCTACCCCCTTTCCCAGCCATTCCCAAGTCCTTGAAGGTGCCTTGAAGACTCCTGCGGCAAAGGAGGAGCTAAATCCACCAGTTTTCCCTTCCTTCCCCCGCTTCCTGCCTATGGAATTCCATAAACTTGGGTCACGTTGTCCCCGGAGCATCACTTAATCCCAGGAGCCAAGAGCGGGAAAAAAAGGAGAGGAAAAGGGGGTGTTGGAAAAGGTTGGTCGGCATCCCCCCAAATCCCTTGGGATTGGGATCCCTGCTTGGGAGATTCCTGCCCGAATCCAGGTGAACGGGCTGGAATTCCGGACACTGTCCTGTCCTCTCCTGGTCGGCAGGTGGGAAAATAACGCCCAGCTCCTGGGAAATTTGGGAAAATTCCCTGGGAAAATAATGCCCATATCCTGGGAAGATAATACCCGTATCCTGGGAAAATAGCACCCATCTCCCTGGAAAATGACACCCATCTACTGGGAAAATAACGTCCATTTCCTGGGAAAATAACGTCCATTTCCTGGGAAAATAACGCCCAGCTCCCAAAGGAAGCAGAGAGCCCTGAGCTGGGAGAAGCCAGACCTGCAATCCCGGCTCCCGGTGCCTGGAATACGCCCGTTTTCCCCCATTTTTCCCACCTTTTTATGGCCCAACATGGGGTCTTTGGGCAGGGTGAGCTGGGATTCCCAGGTTGAGCTCGGTGGGGTGGGAAGAGTTGGGGTCCCGCATGGAGCACCCATTGATCCCAGGAAAAAAAGAACCCCCCTCTCCGTCCCGTCATTCCCTGTTTGTGCTGGGAATGGGGAAGCTGGTGGGATCATCATCATCATCATCACCATCACCATCACCATCACCATCACCATCACCACCCGGAGAAGAGGAAGAGCAAGGGGACATTCCCAAGGATGACCGGAGAGGACATTCGGGAGCCAAAGGAGCAGCTCCAACGCATGGATTGGAGATACCTATGGAATATGGGACGGAGTTATGGAGCCAAGACTTGGTGTCCTGCAACGATCCTTGAGGAGGTCTCCCAAGACCCCATCCAGCAGGCGCAAAATTTCCTGGACCTCCTGGAATCCCAGGTCGATTTTTGCTTTTACCCAGAATTCCAGGTCGAATTTTGCTTTTATCATGATTTTCTTTTATTTTCTTTTATTTTCCTGGATGAATCACTCGTTTTGGGTCCTTCGCCAAGTTCCTGACTTCTCTCCTCGAGCTGTTTCTTCCACCTCAGACATTCAGCGTCAACTATTGAACCAGCAAAGGCAGATGCCTCAAAATCAGATTTCTCTCACTTTTTCTTGCATTTCGACTCAGAAATGGCTAGGAGATTCCCGAGCACATTTGAACACATTAAAAGTTCCCCAAGATTCTCATGGGAAAACCTTTGATTTTCCAGGATCCGAGCGTGAGGTCGCGGTTGGAACCAACCCAGTGGCTCCTTGAGCTCCTTGACTTGTCCTGAAGCCACCTCAGATCTTCATCGGGGTTTGATATCAAGGTAGGGCTCCCAATAAGGCACTTATTTAAATATTAATCCTTACTCCTGCTCTTCTCCATGTTTTTTTGCTCCATAGCCAGTTTTCATTCCTTCTTCTAGCCCAGCTTGGTCAACGCTTGGGCGCGTTTCCCATCGCGACTGCGCGGCGGGTGACTTGGCCCTAAATGGAGCAGGATTTGGGAGATCCAGCTAAATCTAGGTGGAAATTCCCAGAAATTCTCCCTCCCCCTGGATCCTTTGAAGATCTGGGCTCTTCTCCAGTGCTCTTGTCCATCGGCTGGATACCCAGGAGCCCCAAAAGGAGAAATCTGGATGTTGGGAGAGGACGTGAGGATCTCCAGCCAAGGAGATGTCATCTGGAGACCCAGGAGCCCCCAAAGGAGGAGAGATGTGGATGTTGGGAG